GAAGTGTTATAGTTACACTGAAGCATTCAAAATAGCTCGTGCACGTTTAACGTGCCTATGTTTATACGTAGTATGCTGAGGTGAGAAGATACAAGATAGAGATAAAGATACAAGATAAAGATCAACTTCATACTGCAAACTACCGCTGACTAAATGGGAAAACAGTATTATGACTATCAAACAGGGGCACCCAACGATGGTTTCCTCCTAAATAATTTGAATACACTTTTAAGGCTCAGTATCCAGAGTACTTTAAGCTATCTAGAAATGCATTCTAAGCGGAGCTATAAATGTTCGGTCATCCTAGGGGAACTTAAGTCTTTTCGAAATTACCAGGGTTTGAGAGTTATTTTTCCGAAAATTTTTAGGTGAAATTTGACGTATAACGAAAGTGAGGTATTTTCTGATTCTTAGCGCCATCACATTTTTGAATCCAAAAAATTTAGGTTCCCTTTTTTTCTACCAAAAATAGCCCGACTGAGCCCAACAGGGGAAGTAAAATGGGAAAATTAAGCTTCAGAAAATCGTAGGGAATTTATACGATATGCTTCGAAAATTGCACATGAATGGAACAGTCATCTAGAAAATTTTAGCCGTCCTCAGGTAATAGAAAATTCCAGGCAATATTTGCTTCTCCGAACAGATATTTAATACCCTTCGCTTCACCTGGCAGCACATCAAATAACCTTTATCAACTCTGGTCCATCTAAAATCGCTACTTAGCACGTAAATTAAAATGTATTTAAGATGTAGAATATTAATCTTGTATACATATAAGCATGTCTTTCTATTATCCATGATATAAGTATAACAAAATGCGGAAAAACGTAAAAATGAAATACATAAACTAACAAGTTTGTTAAAATCTAACTTTTTCAATGGTGTTTTGAACTTATCTAAGTTTTCTTCCAAACGTACATTATTTAGCAGAAAGTCCCATGATAATGGTGGCAGTGTAACGAAAAGGCTTCAGAAGCCCATTTCAGCCCATAAGCTGTAATATTGGCTTTAAGCAATGATATGATTCCTGATGACCGTGCCAAAATGGATTTAAGAAAGTTAACGTGTCATTTTATGCCTGTAAAGCTGTTCAGTGAATACCTGTTTAATACCATCGGGGTTTTTATAGCCATTTGTGAAAATTTCTTACATTGATGATAAAGCCGAAGAGATCAGTGTCTTTTGTTAGTTGGTCTGTGTGGTGTCCTTATCTTCTTTTTGTTATTGACCAGGTGCGTCCGAAATGTTAATGGCTAATGCAGTTTCCCAGCTTGCTGCAAAGACTCCTGGAAAAGAAGCAGCAGCTATGGAAGCTTTTGCAGCCGCACTTAGACAGGTTAGTTAATACATGTACTTACGCTCAACAAACTGTATTGCATTCAATAACTTTTGAAATGTTTTTATTTATTGATTTGTTTACTTACAAGTATGATGTCTGTAATAGGAGCATTTGTATTATTTGTCCTCAGCTTCCAACCATTATTGCCGATAACGCAGGTTATGACAGCGCTGATTTAGTGGCCAAACTTCGAGCAGCGCATACAGAAGGAAAGAAAACCTATGGACTAGGTAGGCATTCTTATTCCGTTTCATCTTTTATACATGTGTTTGACCGGATTGTTTCTTGTAGTAATAAAAGAGAAGCTTGAAGCCTGTTTTGAGGTATGATGATCTGTTATTTTCAGATATGACCAACGGTCGCATTGGAGACATGTGTGAGATGGGTGTGACCGAGTCTTACCAAGTCAAGAAGCAAGTGCTTACGTCAGCAGCAGAGGCGGCTGAGATGATCGTCAGAGTTGATAACATTGTCAAGGCAGCCCCGAGGTAAGAAACCGCTGGCGGGTTGGGTTTCGCTTCTAGCAAGGCGCAAAGTGAAATCAGATAAAAAAAAAAGTAGAAAAGCGCTAGTCCGGCGTTTGCGGCGTTAACTTCGGGCGCCAACTATTAGTGAGAAAAAGCTGGAAAAAGCCGTGCAAAACAGTCCAGTCGTAAAGAGAATCTGCTTATTAATCAGGACTGTCCCGCCAGATCAATCTATTCCTAAATAGTATGCCACGTGGCCTTTTTAGCGAAACTGTCAAGGAAAGCCTATTTCATGCAAAATGATCGGCGGTTGACCGCCAGCTCTGACTTTTGGTATGAGCGCCCTTAAACGAGTCAATTACCGTTTTCATTGTGCGATAAACTGAACCTTACTTGAAAAATCAGCGTCCAGGCGAAACTTCTGCGTAGTAACCTGTACATACACCTGTACTAGAGTGCTTCTGATGAGCTGTGGAGCTCGAGAGGTCTGAGGCAATGTCGTACACTTAAAAGGGACATGAAGTTTGTTCAATTGTCAGTCGTGTTTGATTTCCTATTTTGTTGTTTTACAGACGGCAGGAAGGCAGAATGCGATAACTGCTGGAAAGCCGGGCATGTCTGTCGTTACAACAGCCCCTGGTTGTTAACCAGTCTGTGATTTTATCCTGTATTCATGCAGGAGCTGGTGAAAGGCTGGCTGATTTATAGAAAAAATTATTCAATGTAATAGAAAATTAGCGAAACCAAGGTGGATACTAAACCTATTATCTTTGTCTTCTACTAATGCAGTTAGTAAAGTTAATGTTTGCGTATAGATCGGTTGCCTCCATCGTTCAAACGTAACTCAGTTCACGCAAACCACCTACCTTTTTGCGTTCAATGTAGAACATACTCATAGATTGGAGTAAGATTGTATGACACAACCGTCGTTAGTTGAGTGGTTGGTTAATTGATTGATAGATTGATTGATTGATTGATTGATTGATTGATTGATTGATTGATTGATTGATTGATTGATTTGATTAATTGAACGGATCGTGGGAGCCCCGCAAATTTTGCAGGGGTGAATGACATCATCAACTCATTTGCCAAAGGAAAGAAATCCTAGCATCGAGATCGGTTGAACGCGCTCCAGTAATCTATAATTACCACTTTTTTAAAAAAGAGGTTGTAATTTTTACCAAAAGAGGCCGAGGTAATATAACAAACATTCTGTTACAAATTCCGCACGGGTTATTCTACCATTTACCGTTTTACTTCGAAGCCTGAATTCCATTGCCAGTTACAGTCGTACTTTTTGTATTGGCGAATCCGATGCAGACAAATACAGTCAAACTCCGTAAATACAGACACTGAAGAGACCGCATAAAGTATCCATATTAACGGGGTGTCCGTAATAAGCGGGTCATGTTATTAAAGTAAAAATATCCCGTTTACTAGAACAAAATACCAAAGAATTAAAGAGGACATAAGCATCGTCAAATTAAACTTCTCTACCCTTCACAAAGCCGTCATTACGCGGCTCAAGTCCACGGAAACACTTAAAAATGGCTCATTTATGGTATTGCTTAATCAAAACCCTTCCTTTGCATTACTCGTTTGAACCCCAAAATGAAGTGTACAAATCATCTTATCCCGCGGTGTATGGTAGCCCTGGAAACATCGACGGTGCTGTCAACTGAAGTATCAGTTTTGGCTTTTCCAATTCGTTTCGTGGTAATGCCGCGCTCTAGTTTGCATTATGTTTGTCTTATCTGTGTCATTACACCAAGAAGACACTGTTCTTTTCTCTCTTAACTTATACAAATAGGAAGCCAAAGATGACTAACAGTCATAATCCGCGGCATTTAACGAAACGATATTGTCCTCTTCTGTTCGCAGGCCAAGGCGAGATGATCGTTGCCACCCATAGATGTCTTAGTTTGAACGATGGCTGCTGCATTCATTAAATTATGTCGTCACGGAAACATGCTGATCACATGTCCAGTGAATCAAATGCAAGCGAGAGTCACAAAAAGTTCTGTTTCTTTTTTCACACTGCTGTTTCGTAAAAGCAGCCTGGATTTCCCACCTCATTTATCAGTGTGATTTACACTTTTGACACAGATAGCCTCTTTTTATGAGAGATGAAGCAAACACTCCAGCGCGCGGAAAAGCTGAACATAAGAGGCTGATCTTTGCTATTTATTGCCTGCATATGATTATTCTTCAGGGTTAGAGTTAGCCTAGACGCACCAATGCCGATAATTAACCGTCTGTCAATCTGGAAGCTTAAAAAGAAGTTGAGTGTTGTGTAGTGTTAGGAAATAAAATTGTTACGGCCAAATGGTGCCTATTGTTTTAAAGTGTTGGAGCTTAAGTTATATAAGCCACAGGTCAAACCTCACTTTTCACATGTAATGAAACTGATGTGAATTATGAGCAGAATCCGTTCTAACAGGAACGGGGAAAATCTCTTAATTCAGGAAGTCGAATCTCAACACTTACTTATCTCTTCTGAGTATAACTTTGCAAGAGGTGTATATGTACCGTTCGCATGTGAAACTACTTACACCGCCTTCACAACAGAAATTAGAACCAAAGCATGCTCTAACATACCCGGCCGGTGTTAGCTTGGTGCCCAGGCTTCAGTTGTTCAAAAGGTGCATTACGCTATCCCGTTGATAAATCTCTATTCCGTAATAATGCAGTTTTTTCAATTTTAATACACGTATCTATCTTGGACCAGTGTATATCGCTGTCCAACTTCTGAACAACTGAGGGCTGAAAATACAATGTTGGGTAAAGTATCATTACTTCACAGAGGAAAAAATACACGTGCATCTCAGGAAAGTCGTCTTGGAAATGCGCTCGCTCAAGTTGCTAAAACCTACGTTGTCCGACATTCGTAGCGGGTATAAAGTGGTCACCCCAGTTCATGCCTATGATCAATTTATCAACCTTGCTCGTAAAAAATACCTTGACGTGGAAGCTTTTTGATAATACAGTATTCTTCTCTTTCAGTATTATCTACATTTATCGATACAGCTTCATGCAATAGAATGAAGTAAGAAATTTAAACTCTCTTAAGAAACTTTCGACTTCAGTATTTAATAATAGTCTTTGCCTCGCACTCAGCAAACTCTTATTCTGAGCGATATAGCAGTTTTCTTTTCACGCAGATAATTTTTGCCCCGCTGTTTTCTTTATATTTGTCAGTGCGTCAAATTGTTTTCCTGCATTCTTATCTGTTCTCTTCTGTGATGGCGTGCCGCCTTTTTGAATGATTTCCGGAGAAGCCGTGATGATACTCCTTGTCTTGTTTTTGACTGATCAGCGCATTTGCCACACTCCTTGTGGTTTTTGTACCAACACCTGTTAACAAACCAGCAACATTTAATGGTCGCAACCTCATTCCCAGGGTTCTCTCCTACCCGTCCCTACGAAGCGAGAAGGCCGAGAGAGGCGGGCAGGAGAAAGAACCTGGGAATGAGGTTGTATTAGTCGTGTTCAGTATATACATGGAAAACCCTTTTATAATCAACATTCCCACAGTTATTTCCATATCCAGATCAACCTCGTTCGCACCCTGGCAAGGAGCCGGTCAGTATTTATCCTAGATCCGCGCCTGGGCATAGCAATATCGACCCTAGTCATCCATAGTAACAGAAGACAGGAAACAGTTTCAATGCCTTCATGTAGTCTGATCCATTACTTTTGGAATTCAAGTGAAGCGGAGACACGCTTTTTAAGAAGGTAGCACATTGTGTGAAAAAGCCTCTTAAAGTCTAATCCAGTGTTAACCCAACATAACTTACGGTGGGGTCTGACAGCAAGTGCGACAAAAACGTCGATAATGTTCTTTATGTGTGGAGTTCCTAGTAGCTTCAGGTCTGTTCAATGAGCTCACGTCGACAGGAAAATCTTGTTCTTCATGTTGTTCATATTTGACTGGTCGTCTAGAGTGTATGACCGTGTTTTCAGAAGTTGTGTCTTTGCTGGATCTATCTGTATTAAAAAAGTCGTAGTGCCAACTTTAATAAAAAAAAATCCTAAAATTTCTTTCCATCTGATAACGCCATTATCACTGAGATGATAACGACGCAATGATTAACGATCTGAGATTCTTAATCCTCTCCGTTAATCTTTAATCTGCTTATTTGAGACAACCTGTTCTCTGAGCCTTGTTTGTTGATGCTTTTTTGTGTTTTATCATTCCATTATTATAGCAAATAAACTTTCCTTGTGGCTCATGTTTGTTTAAGGGTGAAGATAAAGAAAAACCTGTGGAAGCGGTAAAAGACTGATATGCAGCCCAACTTTAGCCCTCCACCCAACACAAAGACTTGCCACAAGTCGAACTCACGAGTCAATCCGTCAATCCTAGCATACCAAGCTTTTTGTGCGGTGAATCCAGCGTCTTATTACATATTTATTTTTTATTTGCAGATTTAGTATGCAAAACAAATATATCTACAAGGTGGAAAAAACACTATAGGACACAAAGTCGACAGGGTTAAACCATCTAGCCCTTATCCCAACCATAATTCCCAAAATTCTACCCAGGCAAAGAGACATACCTGGGAAGGAAATAACATATGCGTTAATTTTGCATCCGGGGTTACTAAGCAGTGATGTCTTCATTTTAATTGGTCATGGTCGATTTTCATTGCAAATCTGTAACATTTCATTAATGCGTGTCGTGGTGTTTCTACTTTCGAACCTTATTTCATGCATCAAAAACTCTGGTATAAATTATTAAAATTAGTGAATCACATCGAACCACTGAATCACTGATCGATTGTTATGAAAAGTGGTTTGTAATTATCAAGAATGACCAATTATCCACTTCTCAAAACAAGCGGCACACTTCCAAACAATAACAGAAATTATCTTAAACTGACTGAGTCGGCCGCCTTAATAACTGTGACTGATGTCAAACGGACTAGTCGTCGTCAAAAAATCGATATCAAAATAACTGTTCAGATTTGTTAGTAATGAAATGATATCGTACCAGATGAGGTCGGGTTAACAGGTAAATTATGTGCTTGTTTAAACATAGCTCTCGCGTTCCTGATCCTATTGAACCTTTCCATATATTTTTTTAACTGAATAGAATAATTTATATCTACTAAAACAGCCGCAATAAAAGGCAAAATGTATAATAGGATTCCGGGGGCATTGAAGAGAAAAATAGTTTCGAAAGGAGCTGAAATAGATTATACTCTATCGAGCCGAAAAGAATATCAAGGATATTTTAAAAGATGAGGCACATTGAACCTCCATTTCAAGTAAGTCCGAGCTTAGCCGACAACTGGGAAATCATCAGTGATCAACAAAACACTTCTTTCCCAATGAATTTCCGCCTAAAACACAAGATGCCTTTCCTCTTGAAACCGTGAAATTAAAGCAAACTGGAAAACTGTTGGTAACTCTACATGTTCAGACAATGCTGCGGGTGAAAATTTTGAATTGAGGTCCGTCTTAAGTCAATTACCTGACGGAGTATAATTAAACGAATGTCTGCAGAAGTAATCCTTTTTATCATAGGAACGTATGTATTTGAGCGCCGGAGCCCTGGTCCATTAACATCCGTCTGTTGCGTGCTCGGCTAAGTGATGTGGGAGGTATATAGCAGTTGAGCCGTCAGTAACGCCTTAAGGTGTATAGCGGTACCCGGCGGGCACAAAAGCAATCTAAAAATAAAGTTTCTTGTTTATAATCCCACTTGATCTCGCTAATCGTTACGTTTGTTGGCTTTGAGTTAAGTAAGTAAGTAAGTAAACACTTGTTACAATGCTATTAAACTTAATCATGATTTTTTTTGGAGATAAAATAGTTTCTGATAAATGAATAGTATAATCATCTTGGTATGTAAATGTAAAGTGCATCACTGAGATGCACATAAGTCTTTTTGTTACAGAATGGAAAAGTCATGAGTTGATAAAAAAGTTCGTCTTTCCCTCTCAGTTTGTTTCAGGACTGTTTCATCGGTAGCAGACGGTCCCCACTGAAATGCTTGTTCAGAGGTTCGGCATCAGTTTTGTTAGATCTCTGAACGGGTCAGACTTTTACCAACAATAGTTGGAGGTGAAAGAAAAATTGTTTTTATCAGAAATGGCGATAAGGTATATCATGGTGCCAGCGAAAAACTAGGAATCAACGCTAATATTTCGAGCGATAGGCAGGGTGGCGAATGACTCTGGGTGACGTAAACCGAAATAACTTCATCAAAGATGATAATTTCAGCATATAACGAAAACCTTAGAACCTTTCCAAAACCATGACCATTTTTTTATATACTTCTGTAAAAATGTTACAAAGAATCTAAAGACTCTAAAAGTGACTTAGGTCTATAAATTTTAAATGTTTCTTTTTCACAATCGATCGCCTGAGAACAGGGTAAGTGATAATGGACACAAATCTCACAGGCCATTGAGTATGATGGACTACATAGAGCTCCGAGAGTCAGAGACCACATTTGTATACTGATAAATCCGACTGACTTTCCCTAGAAAAAGGATCTATTTACCGATGGACAGAAATCTATTTTCCTTGCCAGTAACAGTGGCTCAGTCATTTAATGTGCGGCACCGCGGACCATGCTGATTTACTGAAGACCGAGTAGGGTTGCCCTTCACATTGATATTCACATATTAAAGGTCCCTATAGTCTCATACACGTCACTTAAAGATCTTAACGGATGGAAATGAGCCTTTTCCTATACAAATGGGATGGAGACAAATCTTACTTAAACTGACAACTTCCTTTTGCAAAAGTAACCTGAAAAAATAACCTCTAACCTAGTAAAACTGTTATAAACTCCGACAGGAAGTTAGTAGAAGTGCATGGTAGAATAGCGTGCCAATTCACTCGCCTTTGTTTTCTGATACTTGTTTACCGACTAGAAAAAAATGTTAAAACACTTGCCTTTTTGGAGTAAAATCACAAGACAGGCCCCTACCAGAACCAAAAATATAGCACCCATAGAAATCAGCGGAAACAAACTTCTCTTCATGATAACAGACCAAAACAAACTTGCTAACAAAACTAGCACGCGATGACAAGCACGCTCAGTCCTCTTCACCAGCTTAAATACTCAGCCAAACGTCATCGATCGTTCACGTTTCAAGGACAAGTTTGTTTTAAAGTTCACTTCTAATGAATCATCTTATTTATTATCTGTTGTCTATGGCGTGATGTCATGGCTCGATAACCTACAGATATTTAAGAGCTATTAAATAAGTTGACCCGAAATCACGGAATTTGTTAAGATTCTCACTTTTTCATTCTACACTATTCCAAGGAAAAAAGAATGATAACTTCTTTATTCCGGCCTAGAACTTCCCTCAAAATAATTGAGTGATCCAGGAATGATCTCTTTTTTTTGAGTGGGTGTTAACCTGTTTTAAACCACCCAGTATCAAGTCTTGTCTGGAGAGGTCAGTATTTGCATGCTGCTTGCGAATTTTAGTTGTAATAACGACAACTTTTTTTACTCATCCTAGGGCTCTAAAATGTGACTCGAAGTTGATGTTTAGTTTTTCTTGATTGATCAGCCAAATGATACTTTTGACATGAGACTACATGTAATTAGTAAATTCATAAATATTATTGCAGGTCTAATTGCTTTGTTTCAATAGATTCTAAAAATAAGCTTACGACGAGGCTTCTTGAAAAAGTGAGTACGCCCTCGATAGATTGTGTTCAGAAGGGTGATGAACACGGCCTCCTTGTTTCTCTCAGTTTTGGCAAAAGTGAAAAATTTTTCTTATAATAGCATTTGTAATTTATTTCAAACATAGGTCTTTTTCAAAAGATATTTTCATTAATTCATTATTGTCCCCAAAGGCGTTTGAGAGTCTGTTGTTGTGTCAGCCATGGTTACTAGAGGAGCATATATAGTTAGCTTCCTGCAAGGAAAGAATACGTGATTGGAGAAGATGACCAACTCTGGAAAAATCATGTTGTTTACGTTGGTGGTTAAGACCACTGTATCTTCCTGTTTCCTGCTTCAGGAAGAGACAAAAGCAATAAAAATCATAAACGGTCAACTGATCTTGTGAAGATCAACACAAATAATTTAGGACCACAAAAAAAAGAATGGGCGCCCTCGTAGCAAATTTGTCCGTTGGATAGAGGAAATGGCCCTCTCCCGTGGTAGACCCCTGAAGGACCGTCAGCAAAGAGGACGCCTCTTGTTTAACGGATATAATCGACCAAAGTTTTAATTATTAAAGGAAAAAGTATTTTTCTAAATTTACAAAATTTGTAGAGGTGCACGACCCGGAACCTCCGAGAAGTAGGCACCTTTGCCTCTCGAATTATCAGAATACCGGCGGTCACGTATGTCATTCGGGGAGGTTCGTCGGACTCGGCTTTACCAAGGGTGGATTCATTTGCTTATAGCACATGTAGCCACCAAACTTGGGCTGAGGTATTTATTATTGCTTATACATGCTAGCTAGAAAACAATGAAAAATTCCAACCGGCAAACTCGAAGTTAATAAGCGTACGTTGTAAATGAATCCACCCCATGCTACCCGTGATAGTATACTACCAAACCACGTGAGCTGTAATCGAGAATGCCGCACCGCATAAGTGTACGCCACGTCTTTGTCATATTCTGATCATCTGAATACAAGAGTATGCGCGGTTGGTAGTGGTTAGAAGTCTCTTGAGAATGTTTTCATTTCTTACTCAAAAGAAAGATATGGAGCCTGGTACCAGTTGCTAACCATGGCCATCAATGATTCCGATTTCAAAACAGGCTAAAAGTTTGTGAAAGGTTTGAACCCAGGAGTCATTTCAAAAGTAGGTTTAGTTTTACCTGCTTCAGGTAAAAAGTTTCACAAGGACTCTGATCGTTCAGTGATGGAGTGGTTATTTTAAATTGTTCTTGGGGAAACTCGTCATCATAAACAATAAAAACGAAACGAAAAATATCAACCGGTACTTCTATTTGACACAGCTTGACACGCGTTTGTATTGCTTCATTTAAGAACATCCGGGGTAAAGGCAAAGACAGTGATAACTTTAGAAGACAAATCTGTAATTTTGAGGATGTTGAATGACCCTAAATTACTGCATGAACGAAAAAATTGATAAGATAACTTTCTACTGAAGAGGACATGCATTGAAAATAAGACCAAAAGTTCATCTTTTTCATCTAAGGACTGTTCAATGATTGCACCTTCCTATACCACTGAGCTTGCTTAGATAACGAGCAGCTTGGCAGATGCAGTGTATCGTCAATTGCTTTATTTACTACGATAAATGCAATCATTGTTATCAGACGTGCTGGGATTTGTATGACGTTTCGCTCTGATCGACGGCATAAGTTTCTGTAATCGTTCTGACCAGTCTTGGAAAAAATGGTTATCAGTGAAACGGGACCAGGCTTACCGCAATAGACATGAAAAACATACGGCGACATTACACGCGCTTTGTAAATACGGTCTCTTATATCCTGAGCGAGTGGGATTCGCCGTGTATAGCTATCATAGCTACTAGACTGTACTAAAAGGCAGCAAGCTATAGTTGAACTGACTCGTCCTTTTTATCAAGCTGCTCAAACCCATCTCCGATTACCTTACATGGCATCATAGATGTATCTCTTCGTTTTCCAATTTCCCAGTGTGCGCTTTTCACATTTAATGAAACACTGTTAATTGTTTGATGATATATTATTAACCCCGGCACACATCAGAGCTCGCTGTGACAGCAGACCAAAATCTTAAGCCATCGATGTCATCGATAGGAGAGTGTATGTAGGTAAACACTACGTGAGGTTACTAACTTCTAGAACAATTATCGAGCACGCCTTCCGTCAATGGCTTCAATGATGTCCTGCTCAATTTCTTTTAAAAATATGTTTGAGGCTCATTTGAGGCGAGAAAGGTCATGCATTGGCGGTCGAATCCAAGTAGCAGCTTGTAAAAGTGAAATGGTGAAACTAAAATCGAGAGCTAGAGCGCCGTAGCCCTTCGTCAGAGTGAATCTCGTCGGTGTCTGGGTTTAGAATTCGTTCCGACGAAGGGCTGGCGCTCGAAACTTTAGCTTTTCAGTCTCTTTTAGGTGGTAAATTCCATGAATTGACTTTAAAAAAATGGGAGGTTCCTGCAGGCCGCAGGTCGCGCCCAGCTTCGCGGCAGGACATAATTAAGAGGAACAACTTTTGCGGGGGTTGAGCACCACTTGAAGATATGTACATTGAAAGAGCAGGTCTTCTTCATACCGGTCGGTTTTACCGTAATGGTCCGTAATCCGTAAGGAAATTATTCCCTGCTGGAACTTTTGTAAGTAACCGCTTAGTTGACTGCAATGTCCTGACCTGTTATCTTCTGAAGTAAACTCTATGATAAATTAAATTGTTAAAAACTGAATCATTTGATAATGCAATTCTAGAGCTCTGACTGGCTTAGCCATCATGGTATACGAGCATTATACCATGCTAGAACTCCAAATATGGTAACTGTACTCGTCTGCTCAAAATTAAAAACAAGCTGAAAATCGGTTGTTTTCACAAAAAAAGTCGGAAAGAATTCTGGATATTTTGTGGGCGTTTTTAATAAAACAATTATTCCACCCGCGCTTGCTGGATATGAGATGATTATAGCCATCTCATATCCAACGCGCACTCGTGGAATAATTGTTAAATATATTAGCACCCGTTAATTGGAAATGCGACGGGCGAAAATCTACGATCACATGTTTTTTAAAAGCAGTGAAGAACAGGACAAATTATTTGCTCATCTTAATAAAATAACTGGAATTATTATGTTGACTTTCTTATGTCATTTTCCAGCTTCGATGTATTGATTTTGTAAATCTGTTTCACCAATCACTAGTTTCAAATATGCCGGAACATCGTCGGTGATTTTTGTGAACATTATCCAGTCCCTATCAGATGGGGATGGCTAGCAAAACAAACTGTCGATACATTTAGTATGTGTTACAGGAGTTTAGTATATTATAAAAATGGGTGAAAACAGGTCGTAGCAAAGAGCGGTTTTCAATTTTGCAACTCAAAAAAAAAAATTGCCGAAACTGTTCGCTGAACATGCGATTTACTGTGTTGTCCCGTCTTGAAGGACCAACTAGAGCATATACATAGGTCTTTTTGCAAACTGACTGTGCGGCATGCTGATAGTTCAACACTCATTATAAGATGGGAATTCTCACCTGTTAGCTCAGGATTAGCCTAAGAAGTTGAAACACCTCATTCATTAATATATAGTTGAATGGTCAACATAGACGTAGTTTTAAAAGCATTATGTGACCCCGGCATTTATCAAAAATTAGAACTACTTATGCGTTTTCAGTAGGTAAAAAAAAAAATGTTTAAAATGTTGGCCCATTTTTAGTGAAAAAAGCAAAGTTTGTGTCTGGGAATTGAGCGATATCTTATGTTGTCTGCTGAGACACAGTGCCGCCGATAAGATAGGCAGAGTCTTGAAAGTCTTGGCTTCAGTAAAGGGTTGTTTAAATGTCCTGAGCGTGTATTTAGATTATGCTGACGTTTTGTCAACAGTCCTTGGCTGTAATATAATTTACCTTTGGTGAGAGTCTGTAACATGCATCAAAAACAGAAGAAATAAATTATAATACAATTCTTCCACATAAGGGAAAAGGATCGATTGAAACAAAAGATACGATCAAACCTGTATTTAGAGGTCACCCTCGCTTGGGAAATGGATTGCTGATCACTTACAGGTTTGAAAAAAAACGAAGAGTTATAAATCAAGAAAATGAACATGGTGAAAGAGCGAAATATTTATCCCAAGACACTTTTACCTCAAAGTGTCTCTACCTCTTATTGTGCCAAAAAGAACGGAAAATAAAGATCGCTGTAGTCTAAACGCCATATACAGTGTATCTGCTGCACTTGTTTGGTACATCTTGTCAAAGTGACCGTTTAATGGAGGTGAAGACAATAGAAAATAATTCGTTGGGACCTCGCAAAAGGTGACCGCGACCGCCGCTTATTAAGGTCAGTTTTGCTGTAATTAAGGACATTAAGGGAAATGATTTCCGGGACTTTGTTAAGTG